AAAATATACTCATCCAATAGCATTTCATAAATCGAATGTTATATATCGGAAAATTCGACTTTTTCCAAAAATTCTCAAATTTTACAAGAATGAAGATCTCAACAAGTAGAGTAAACTTTGTACCTGCGGCCAAGGCCAATTTGGCCAGAAAAAACCGCAAACTAGCCACAAACCGCTGGAAACCCTGAGGTGGGTGTTCTTCAATTCGACTTCCTCGGTGTTCCAACGCCCCTACAACCTATTGGGTCATGGTCCTGGGTCTAAGGGAAGTTGATTAAGGGTGATGATGCATGGTGATACTCACCGGAATGGCGAATTGCCGTCAAGAACCTCCGAGTTCTCTGGTACGGTTCTACTCGAAATTGGCCTTAAAAACCCTTGAATTTGAGCAAATATGGTAGATGAGAGGTTGTGGAATAAGTTGCAAGTGGAGGAGGGTTAAGAATGGCCTGAAAAAATGGTGGAGATTGGCCGAAATTCGGCCAAGTTGAAGTCGGGTTGTGGTTGCACGGGTTGACCAAATGGAAGGGGGAAAAATCCCTCTTTTCATTTCTTCCTTCTTTTTTTTTTTTAACCCCATACCCGGTTCCCTTAACCGCATACCCGGTTCCCTTAACCCCATAATATATTTTGGGCCTTTTACCCTCTAGTGGAAAATAAGCAATTTTCATAACCTAAAGTTTCACAACTTCAAACGTCTGTAACTATACCGTTATAACCCGGACTCACAAACGGCTTTCACCTATGCGCTCGTGACTTCGAGACCTATTCGAAAACGTTACTTGTGACCTTGAAAAGTCAACGAGTAAATAATAATTTTTCAAACTTCACTCTTCGTAACTAGTGTAATTGAAATCTAATTTCAAATAAATTAATTTAAATTCTCGAAAAAAAAATCTCAATAATACAAATACGTAGATTATAACAGTGAAATCCGGGAACGGGATTTCACAGACAAAGTCATAAAGTGTAGTGATGTGGAAAATGTGAATAAATTTAATGCTAAAAGTGCCTAAATATAAGAGTGCGCTGTGAGCAGGAATGAACCCATGTCACACGTGATTACAGAGCATAAGTAAAGTATAGTAAGGTAAGATAAGGATTATACCATCGTAGGTAGCCACCTATACCGAGGTATGCCAAGAATCCTCGTTGATACGGAAGCTCAGCTACTAAAACTTGGAGAGGCGAAAAATAGAAGGGTGAGTAGGCAAAACCAAAGCTTTAGAAAACACATTTATCTTTTCTAAAAGTAATAACCCCTCACTGTAAAACGCGTATAGTTTCCAGAAAATAATACTACATAAGTACGAAAGCGCATGCATGAGTGCAGTGAAAATAGAAGCATGCCATGCCATAATATCTCAGCAATAATAAGTGTAAGCTAGGTGTGAATCTAATATAAAATAGTATGCCAGTCAGAGTCACCTAACGTGACCTGTATGACTGGACCTGTAGCTTATCAATCTAGGCTAGCACACGAGTCGGAGTCACCTAGTGTTACCTGTACGACATGCTGGGTATAACTATTTACGCTCAAGTGCTACGATCATGTAAAGGCTGTGCGATAAATCACGAGTCACCTACGAGTCAGAACCACCTATTGTGGTCTATACAACAGGCTGGCACCTGACTTGGATCCAAGGTGAGCGTGCGGTGCGGGAGGTCAACAATCACGTGAAGGCTGGCCCTAGCCTCGGGCGAGAGCATTAATACCAGGGTGCAGCCATGATGGCTGCACGAGCAGCCACACACCTTCCTCACGAAATCTACAGAATTTGCAGATTTTAGGGCTGATTTCCAAAGCTCATTTCGAGCTCGATCTTCAACCAAATTCAATGATTCAAAAGCCATTTTGAAGTTAGAAATGTCGGTAACAAAACCATACCAAAGTAAGGCCGAATTAAGGTCGGTATAGTGAAGGTGCTCTTAGGAAAGAGAGAAAGTTGCATAAATGAAAGGGTTTGAGAGGAAAAGTCTAAAAGTGAAAGAGAGAGTCTGGAGAAGAGAGAGCTGAGAGACTAGATGAGAAGGTGATGTGGCAGTCACTAGTGGAGAAGGGAGATGGGGAGATTTGAAAAATGAGATAGAAGTTTCCCAAATGAGAGGGAGACAAGGGATTGGGGAAAGGAATGGGGAGTCTCACAGGGATGGGTCCCACCAGACATAAAACTCCCAAAAGAAAATGTTAAAATAACAGAAAGTCAATTACCTAGAATAGAAAAATTACTAAAATTCCTTCAACTTTGTACTCTGGTAAAATCCTCGTCGTAACTCCAAATTCAATTCTGCTCTCGCCTACACATTCGTATTGTCGAGCACTATAAGGATACGCTAAAAAAAGGCTCTACATCCCTCTACATCTTTGCCTTTAAGGGCATTTTCGTAAAATCACGCTTTTAAAATTTATAAAAACGTAAAATTAGGAACGGGTTGTCACAGAAGCTCTTGTAAAGACAACACACCGTGAAGAAACGCCTCAGACAGAGAACCAGAACTAGAGAATCAATTCCGGCCAGAGAATCAGAGCGCCTCGGGCCATGCCCATCTCTGCTATGCCCATGGAGGAGATGCCACATCAGCAAGAAGAAGAAGAGATGGAGAGCTTTTTCGAAAATGCCTCGCTTTTGTAGGGATTAGCGGCGACATCAAAATTAAAGAGAGGGAAAGGCAGTGGGGGATGGCAATGGTGTAGAGTGGAGATGAGAAAGGAAACATTGAAGTGTAGAATGGAGATGGAGAAGAAGAGGATTGTGGGGGTGTTTGGTTACAAAGATTAATTTGGTGAGGATGATGAGTTTGTAGGGGTAGGTACCACTTTTTAAATAAAAATATTTAAATAAATTTATGATTTAATTTTTTAATATTTAATTAATTTTTTAATGCGTTTGGACCAGAGAGTGGGGTTCATCTCAAGCCACGTTAGCATTTAATAGAAAAACTAACGGAGGTTTGACATTGAAACGAATTTGTAGGATGAAGTATGACATTGTAATTTTTCAGACATGAGGTATGTGATTGTGGTTGGACCTAAAATTGAGGTAGTTTTTTATATTTTACCCTTTTTTTTTATTTCAAAAACAATGGTAGCAGCCACAGCCTTTTTCCTTTCTTCTTTAAAGGACAAACCATATTCTAATGCATAATTTATATATAAAGTTTGGGTTTTTATCACAAATTATCTCTGAAATTGACTCTCACCATCAAGATGGTCCCTAAAATCAAAAATCAACCGATGTAGTGCTTGAAAATAGGTGTCGTAAATCAATATGGTCATTCCGTCACAATTCTATTAAAAATTTATGGGTTTTTTTTATCGCAAATGGTCCCTGAAATTGACTTATACCATCAAGATGGTCCTTGAAATTGGCCTACACCATCAAGATGGTCCCTAAAATTGAAAATCGATGAATTTAGTCATTCAAAATAAGTATCAATATGATCACTCTACCACAATTCTGTAATTTTTTTGTTATGTGGGTATAATAATTAATTTAAAAAGTTGTCTAAATACCTTTTTGCACAATATAATTTTTTTGTTCTTAAACTCCGAAGAGAGATCCCTTCCATAACTTCTCAAAGGCACAAGGCTTATCCAAGGCCTAAGAAGGGGTTTGGAAATAGTTTTCAATCAACAATAGACGCACCTCGGTTATAACCTCATTATCTCAAGGCAGACCTCGTCGTTCTTTGAGTCACCATACCACAAGGAAAGCACCGAACAAGCTTTCCAAGATTAAAGTTGTGAGGATGTTGATCGCCTAAATGTTAACGATGATGTCCCAGAAGTTGTTGCTAATCAGCCAAGCCGTCACCAAAGGTGATCTCGATCCAGGTTCAATTCGGTAAAGGTGTCGAAGTGTGTAAAGTTGGATGTATTGATTTTTTTTAGAGAATAGACAGGAAATAAGGTATAATGTGGACTGGGATTAGAGGTCATTGTGGGACCGGATTTTTAGGTTCACAATTTTTTATTAACAATTAAATTATTAAACCTATTTGTAAATTTTTTTTAATTTAGTTAGGCTTGTGTGATCCATTTATGTATCACATCAGCACATAACATAATTTTTGACATAATTGTGACGGAAGGACTATATTGATTTAGGACCCTTATTTGCGGGACTACATTAATCGATTTTCAATTTTAGGGGTCACTTTGATGTCACAGGTCAATTTCAGGGACCATTTTGATGTTGCGGGTCAATTTCAATGACCATTTGTGAGAAAATAGGACTTATGGGACCTATTTATGTGCCACATTAGCACTTAACGAAATTTTTAACAGAATTTTGACGTAATGACTACATTGATTTGCGACACCTATTTTCAAAGACTACATTTATTGATTTTCAATTTCAAGTACCATCTTGATGGTGAAGGTCAATTTCAAAAACCATTTGTGATAAAAACCCAAGTTTATATAAAGTTACAGTTAGATAAGCATGCAAAAACAAAGGCAATAAAAAAGGTGGGTTAATTTAAGATAAATCCTAATCACGAAAACAAATGAGTTATGATATAACCATGTTTATTGATGAGGGTGAAAACCCACTAGATATTATCAATCATGCGGCGAGGACCGATACCGTATATGCTAGGGTTTTTATGCCAACTTAGATCATGGCTTTTTAAATATTAATAAACTAATCCAAATTAGTCCATTAAACACAAACTTAGACTATGTGAATGTATATGCGTGCCAAACTTACCTGAGTGAGTTTTTTTGAAACGCTTACTACTTTTGTGATGGAAAGCGCGAGAGACAAGTTTAGACTAAAATAATTATAATTGAAACAAGCGCTAGTATAAGATGTTATAAACTCGAATCGTTCTATTTAGGAATGGCCAATTTTACTCTAACTTTGAGTCTGTTGACTTGAACAAGAGGGGAGCCAAGGAATCTAATCTCCTTCTGGAAGCCTTTACTTTCCTTTTTCCATTCTTTGGTGATATAATGTAGTGAGCCAACAAAGTCAAAAATGTGTGCTTAATTTGTAATGGCTTCCCCACTTCCACTTCCATCTCCACTTCACTGCTTGTCATATAAACAACCACCTCACAAAATCTATCTTCATCTATGCTTTGAAGTGAGTCAAAATATGAAGATTATGAACTTTTCATACCACATTCTTCTCTGTTTGCTAGTTTTATGCAATTGCAGTGCAGAAGCTCAAGATCCTTTGGGAGATTTCTGCAACAAAGATAGCACTAAAATAAGTAATGGCACTCAAATATCACAAAATATTGATAGCTTGTTGGCTGAATTGGTTCCGAAAACTGCCTCAACCGGCTTTTTGGCTACCACCTATGGGGAAAACCAAGACCAAGTCTATGGCCTGGCTCAGTGCAGAGGTGACGTTGTGGGCACCAAAGACTGCTCAAGTTGCATCCAAGACGCCACGAAGCAAATCCGCCAGCGCTGTCCGAACCAAGCAGACGCGCGAATTTGGTATGACTATTGCTTCTTGAGGTACAGTTACAAGAGCTTCATTGGGGAAGTTGACACATCATATGGTATATTTTACTATAATGTTGACAATGTGACCGACCCCGAGAAGTTTAATGAGGAACTAGGAGCTGTGACAGATAAGATTAGGGCACAAGCTGTTGTGCCGGAGAGTGGAGGGCTCGGGAAAGGTGAGACAAAGCTATCACCATTTGTGACACTATATGCTTTGGTGCAGTGCACAAGGGACTTGTCTAAGCTAGGCTGCTCTCAGTGCCTAGCTATTGCAGTGGGAAATTTCCCAACTTTTTGTAACAACAGAAAGGGATGTAGAGTTTTGTATAGTAGCTGCTACGTTAGATATGAGCTCTATCCATTTTTCTTCCCTCTTGATTCAAACAATACGCTGCATGCCGTGGATGATAATAATGTAATGGCTATAGCTTATCCATAAAATTTGTACGTCTAGTATACAATATTCCGAAAAGAAGATGCACAAAGTGCAGTAAAGAGGGGCACTGAACCATGTTTTATTATCTGTTTGTTAAGTTGTCCTTAAAGCTAATGGAATTCCATATTTTGGTGCCAAATGATTCAAATTTCAAAGAAAGAACGGACAGATTTTTACAAGGCTTGCATCCCAATTACAAACAAATTTACAAGGTTTGCACCCCAATTCCAAATCTCCTTATTCGTTTACATGTATGAAATCATATGTTTTCCATCAATGTATGTATACAATTTTTCACCCATTAGGCCCTTTACATGTTAATTTGTACCCAAAGTAGACTAGTAGTTGGCTTTGCCATGGCTTCTGGGAAAGGGGATGACATCCCTTACATCATTCAGGCCAGTAGCAAACAGAACCATATGATCAAACTCAAGATTGAATCCCGAGTGCTTAACCGTTCCATGCCGGCGAAGATCCAAGTACCATTCATACTGCTGTGCCGCCAATCCCAATTCCTTAATCCTGCAAACAAGAAACACCAAAATTTGAGTTTTATTTATTAGTTTCTATGTTCACAAGAAAGAAATAACAACCTTCTGAGTTTTTGGCTATTATATAAGACTATTAATGCAAGTGAGTACCTTGCAGTTAGAATGTTGATGCGCTCCTCATTTTGGCTACCAGAAAATAATCTCCCAGCCTGAGAAAAATAAGCATTTTTCAGTATCGAAACCAGTTTTCAATTAATTTGCACTTTTGTAGGGATGCGGAAGCTTTGATAAAATGTTTCTCATGGTTTCTTAAAGTGCAAGTATGAGCTTACCTTTGGAACAACCATATCAAATGCTGCAACCGTTTTTCCATCATCGTTCAGCCGGACATAAAATGGCTTGGTTTCTTTTGGATAATTGTATATAATTACAGGCTTCTTGTATATCTCATCAGCCAAATAACTGTAATGCATGAAAAAAAAAATGTTAAGAACCTCAACTGAGATAATGGTTAATTTAGATTATTACCACAATGTTCATTTGCATACCTTAGATCTGCTTCAGTTAGTGCAGCACCCCACTCAATTTTTGTCTCAATTTTCTTGTCTGTAACCTGGCAAGTTAAAATCGATATATTTTCGTAAATAATATAGCTGGAGAAAGAAATGATTGTCAGAATTATACTCAAGGACTATGTTATATAGTCAAACCTTCTTTAATGCATCTAATGCTCCACTGTAGGAAACTCTTTCAAATGAACTTGAAATCATTGACTGAAGGCGATCAATTCCGGTTTTGTAGATTCGTTGAGAAACAAATTTCATATCTTCGGAACAATTTTCCACTACCCATTTGCAGAGGAACTTGAAAAGGTCATCTGCACAATTGATTGCTTCCTGCAAGCTCGAGAAGGTAATTGTTAGATCTGACAAAGAAAGAGATAACAAACTTACTCATGCCAAAAACATAAACTTATACCTCTAATTCTGAAAAGGCCAATTCAACTTCAAGCATCCACATTTCGGCAGCATGTTTTGGGAACTCTCCTTTCTCTGCTCGAAATCTTGGCCCAAATGAGTACACATTTCCAAGGGCGCAAGCGTAGCTCTCCAGATGCATCCGGCCAGAAGTGGTTAGATAAGTTGGGCTAGAGAAGTAACCCTCAGAAGATTTAACATTGTCAACCTTCTGAGAAGTTTTCGGTTTTGATTTCTCTCTTGCTTCCAGTTGTGATGCTAACTCATTTGTTTTGTTTAAGTCCTGCATTGCAGCAGCTACTGCTTCCTTATTGCTGTCTGTCCTCTTGAGTTCCTCTAGTAAGTTACTTTTCTCTTTTACTGCAGCCTTGATAGCATCTAGACTAACACCGTCAATTTCAGCAACAGCTTTCTTAGGCTCCTCCTTTTCACCTGCTTCGGTGAAAAGGCTAGTGACATGGAACTTTTCGCTGGATCCCTTGCCGTCTGTAGTTGTTATAATGGGTACTTGCACCGAAAGAAAACCATTGTTTTGACAAAATGTGTGAGCTGCAAACTCCAAGGCATTGCGGATTCGCATAACAGATTGCACCTAAATAATTAAGTAGAATATGTCATATCGTATTAAGGAATCACTGGACATAAAAAACGTAAGCTGTTAGGAAATAAACCAGAGTGTATATCAATCATATGCGCCCTTTGTCATGATCAAAATTTAATTGCATTATGTCAAACACTTACTTTCAGAACAGATATAAAAAAGTCGAAGAAACACAATCAAATAACAATGGGAGATGCAAATTACCGTAGTTGTCCGCGGCCTAATGTGGCAAAATTCCCTTAGTTTATCTAGAGGCACACGTTTTTTGGATAATGGATACGTGCTATATTCTACTATTCCGATGTGATGAACTTGATCCACTTTCAGCTCGATAACATGTTTCCCCTGTAGTACCGAAGGTTTCTGCAGCAAGCCTTCCACTATGACGCAAGTTCCAGTATGCAAGAGCTGGCCTGGGGGAGCCAGGGAGGATTCAACAACAACCTGACAAACATCAAATATAACTTTCATCATTGCCTATAAAAATTCATTTAAAAAGTTGGATAATTACTCCAAGCAACATAATTATTTGTACCATCTCTAAATTTGTGTCGCCAACCAGTCTAGAGAGATGGTACAAAATATCTTCAGTTGAGATGGTACAAATAGTAGTGCTCATATTTACCTGAAGGCTTGCAACGCAAGAACCATCCCCGACTTTCAAGAAGACAGTGGAAGGTGGCGGGGGCTTATGAAGCGCCGCCTCCAACTTGTCCTTAAGAGGATAATTGCCGCCACTTCCTCCTCCCAAAACTTTGACAATTGTTCGTAAAAAAGGTATCCGAGACTGAAGAATTTCGACACAGCTGACCTCTGACCTTGGTTCGGGTTCACCCGGCACATGATCACCATCTATACGTGGCACAGGCCCTTTCCTGACCTCCTTGGAGGACTTCACCCACCCTCCAATCACAACCCTCTCACCAATTAACTCCAAACTACCATCCCTTCTCTCCAAGATGGTTTTCAAGAGCACCCGTTTCGAGTACTTGAAAGGGCTCAATCGGGTGGTACTAGCTGCTGCCGCGGTTTGTTTGGATTCCATTTCGAGATGGAGAAACGAGAGTTGAAAAAGGAAATAAGATTAGATTAATGGTGAAGATGTGATTGGGACATTGTTTGGTGGGTTGATATAAGAGGGTTAAATGCCTTGCTTGGGATAGGAGAGAGTCTGAGATTTTGGGTTTTGGGAGATGTTGGGATGAAGGAAAGGGATTGTTTCTGGGAAGTTTTTGTTCAGAAGACATTGGAGAGGCGTGGGAGGCAAGGTTTGGTATGCTTCAAAGTTGGGCATTCGCGGGAATTTTCAAGCCTGATATAACCGACTTTAACCGTTTTTCCAAATTTTTGGTCACTTGTTGGAAAAGGAAACCTATGTTGAAAGGTGTTAAGGATTTTTACCATAGGATAAAAACACCTAAAAATACTTGTAAGAATACAAAGTTATCGTAGTATAGCAGCTCAAGCAAGGTCGTTTCCATAGGAATTGATTAAATAATTTGTATTTGAACTAATTCTTAATTAACTATTTAAAACAAAGTTTCAAAATTGTTGATTTTATGACCTAGAATATTAAAAACCAATTTTAAATTAAAATAATTAAAGAAACCAATTTGAAAGGGAACAATCTTAGAAAATAATGATAAAAGGACACTAGGTTCCGCCGTCCCCTTAACAGTCTTATGTAGTTTTACCAATTACTTATGAATTACACATGCAACTTTGAAGATTAGGTTTTCCTTATGCATATTCTACTTGTGGCATTTAAGCTAGATCGTATATCAAACATGCAACCGTCTGTGGCATTCAGATCAAACATAAACATGCATGACTCATTACACTTTTGTGAAAACCCTTTGAAAAAACCATGCAACCCCTAAGACGTGGCATTCGCCCAAAGTGAAATTACAACTATCAATCACAAGAAGCAATACTCAATCCTCCAATGGCATTCCGACCGAATTGCATCCGATTACTTATTTAAACATCCTAATGGTAGCTAAACATTAAGATATAGAGACAATTTAAACACAATGATTAATAATCCAAAATATGCATGTATAATATCATAAGTAATTAATGAAGAATACATATTCATACTAAGGCTCAAGGCATTGCCCTAGCAAACGAAAATTAGTTACGAACAACCATAAAACAAAAGGAATTTTATTGAAATAGAAAAATGATAGAAAACACCTTGAAATACAAATCGTCAAAGCCTAGCTAAGTTCTCCAAATTGATGCCCCGAATCTCTCTCTAATGGCTAAAAAGCCTTATTTATACTACTACAAACTAAAATCCTATCTAGAAATGTCTTCTAAAAACTAGGAAACATAATAGAATAAGATAACTAGGAAATAAAAGGTTTCCTATTAGAACTGAAATTCAGACTTCTCAGGAAATCAGACTTTTGACTGATCAAATCAACTCCGATTTAATCCCAAAAAGATCTATTTTTTAAAGCTTGAGGCGTCCCCTACAAATCCTCAGAAGGAATTTTCTTCAAAATATGCCACTTTGACCTTCAAAATATCCAAAATGTCCAAAAACGTCAATCTGGGAAAGCTGTGCGCTGGGTCTTTATTTCATCGCCACGGTTAAACGGCTTGATAGAAAAATCTGGAATTTTGCTATAATCATCTTGAAAGACTCAAAAACATCATTCAATTGGAATCACTCCAAAATTCATCTGTTTGATCATTTTTTGCTCTAGAGGAATTCAAATGTCCTACATTGAAATTACATAACAAAGTATCAAAAGTCTACTAAAATAACCAATAAATTATAACTAAGATTAGGGTGAAATATATAGTATAATATCGTCTCATCAAAAGGCACATCTGTTTATTTGATTCCTAATGCCACAAGATTTAACCTAATATCTAAGCTATATGATATTCTCATTATTAATAGTTTCTATTAAGAATTGTCATTCAAGATATTTGAACCCAAGATTTACTTTAATTAAATGAAGACTGAGTGTTGCTAGACCAAATAATCATGTCCTTATTATTG